TCCGGAGAATGCAAAGGGTAAGGGAGTCAACCTCCGAAATGCTGAAGGTATTGGATACCCTCATTGAGGCCTTTGAGGACTCAAGTAACATGTAAATATTGATCAATGTCTGATAGTAGACACATTGCAGTACTACTCAGTAGGTAGTCCTTGGTACTTGTATATTCTACCTACCCAGTACTCGCTGCCAGGTTTTCTGTGCTCGGTACTTGGGGCTTGGTACTTGGGGCTCGGTACTCGGGGCTCGGTAGTTGGGGCTCGGCAGTTGGGGCTCGGTAGTCGGTGCTTGGTACTCGGGGCTCGGAATTCGGGCCTCGGAACTCGGGCCTAGGAACTCGGGCCTCGGGGCTCGGTACTCGGTGTTCGGTACTCGGGCCTTGGTACTCGGTGACCGGCGTTCGGGCTTCGGTATTCAGGGTTCGGTACTCGGGCCTTGGTACTCGAGATTTGGCATTTGGCAATTATAATTTGTTTGTTAGTACTTTGACATATACATAATAGCACATATGACATTACACATGAGGGCAGGAACATATATGTACATTAAGTGCGTCCCCGTGCTCTGGTGACTCTAGGTGTACTGTCTACTGGCATTTGCAACTTACTCCGGGTCGTCCTCGTGGATGGTTCAACAGTGACTCGAGTGCCCCTCCTCCTTTTCTGTGCCGGCGGTGTGATACTCTCTTCCATTTCGACATCATCTCTAACCTCGCCCGTCGCGTTGTCAGTTAACCCAGCGAGGAGGTCTCCCAATCGTGATGTCAGTAATGCACCTTTTTTGGCCGGCTTGGCCGGGCGAGGCTTTGGAATTGGACGTGGGACTGCCGGCCCTCTGGGTGTAGGACCTCCCGTCCTGGGCTTCTTCAGCGGAGGTCTCCCGTCAGCCAGGTCATCATCCACATTATGCTCCGTATGATGAGTGGCACTCTCCTTATCACTCTCGGCTTCTGTCGATGACTCCCGAGGCCTTCGGATGGTAACCCTCTGTTGCCTTCTCACTATACGAGTCTGAGGAGAGGGCGAGTTGCCAGATATGACAGATGGTACCATGTCCCCATCTTTGTTCTTCCATGCTTTGAACAGAAATGTGGGCCCTTCGCCTGTTTCTTGCCGAGCGAGCCAAAACTGGAGCAAGGTAGTGGTGTCCCAAATTTGCAGCTTCGAAGGTTCCTTCAAGTCAACATCCGCCGGAAGATACGTCCGGGCCACGAAGTCATCCTGACTTTGTACAATGGCACTCCATGGCACAACCGCCTTGTCCTTCCCGGAGCATATCCCTTTGTCCATGCATTGAACAATTTGTCAGGTGATGCGACGACAAACTCACGATAGTGCGATGTAAGAAAGGCCCTTACTATGGCCTTCTTCTCCTCAAGTTTGGTGTCGGTGATGTCCGGAAGGAGTGGCATACCCTCCCCGTCCATTTCGAGTTCGAAGGCTGGTTTTCGAATTCGTTTTCGACCTCCCTTGACCTGACGTCCTCCATCCCGTGCCCCGGCGCCTATCATTGTGATGCTCAATATGTTCAATCTGGTATACATGGTTCACACACTCACCGAACTGTTCCTGCGCGTACTCCTGCCACACTGGCTCAATGTCCTCCCAGTCCTTCGTCTTCATGAAGCTGTCCCCATCTCCTAAGGCCTCATTATCATCATGCCTGCATGAATATTTTGAGACGAAAAATCTCCATCTATGGATAAATGTACTCACATCCCGAACAGCACCTCGCCCTTTTCATTCTTCCAAGCCGACATCACAAACACTCTCATCCCACATTGCCTCCACATCTCGTTCGAAAAGTGCTCCATATATGCCGGACCCTTCTTACGAGCGACTTGTGCTTGTATCTCCGGAGGCGGACAGTTGTTGGACCACTCTTCGGCTGTTTCTTTAGCCTTCTCCAACTCGTCGTCGTCCAATTCAGCCATGACTCTCTTCACCGCCGCCTGATAATGTTTGAACATACCAGGATCTCCTGGCTTTACCCCGGACTCGTCCTCAATCCTCTTCAGCACCTCTTCGCGTTTTTGCTGGTAGACCACCATCCTGGGAGTCCATTTCCTCCCATACTTGATCATGTCCTTCCTTTCCTTCTTTTTCTTGTTGTTGAACAACCAAGTCTTGTACACCTAAGAGTTGATGAAAGAATGTGACGTTAAAAATTTAGTTTTTCAACGCAACAAAGAAGCCTCACCTGCTTCCTCTTTTTCCATTGTTTTTGGTCCAACTTCGGAGCAAACAACCTGGCCGCCCTTGCTATGGCAGTGAAAATCGCTCGCTTCTCACTCCTTTTGGCAGCAGTCCACTCAGGAAGGTAGTTCTTCAACTCCAAAATCTCCTTGTTGGTGAGCTTCTGAGACTGTGGTTGACGCATCCTGTGTCTTCCGGAAGTCGTGTTGGTGGAATGACCTGTTCTTGCCATAGTGAATCAAAATGCAGAAATGGCTAAGGATTTTCAAGGTGAAAGTATTAATGAATTGTGCGAAGTTGAACTTTGAGCAAAGCCTAATGATAGGTTAATCGGCCCATATTGGACCCTGAGCCATTAATGGAAATGAATTTGTAATAAGCCAACAGGACTGCACCGCATCATATTGCAATAACAATTCATTACACCTGAGCTGATGCCTTGCTTGCAACATTAATAAACAAGATGAAGATAGGTAGATGCACCCCGGTGCAAAAATCTCACAGGGTGGAAGCAAGGGGCAGCAAAGGTAGGAAGACTTGGGTCAAGGTCCCACTTGCAAGCACGAGGCGACATGCCTACAGGTCCATGCCTAACTCTCCCCCGGAATCACCAACAATTCAGCCTGTTGAGGCACCGCCTCCTTGGGAAGACTTTCCTGACAATACTTACCAGCAGGACCAAGGCTCATTTGAGCCATTGCAACTCCCAAAAACCATGGCAAGTTCATGTACAATGTTGGAGTGTCATTCAAACTATGGCTAAGCATTCAAAATACAGAGTCAAAATGACTACCTCAGGCAATGGCTGCCAAGGCAGGAATCATATCTACATCACCTCCTCGATCGAGAAGCTCCACCCGAAGACAGGAGATGCATCATCTGCCAACAGGATGGGGTGTACAAATGTCAAGATTGTCTTGGCGAGCCACTTTATTGCACGGGCTGTTGCAGGAGTCAACATCGTAGCAATCCTTTCCACTGGATCAGTCAATGGAATGGGCGATTCTTTGAGCGGAGTTGTCTAGCTCATGTGGGACTCATTATATACCTTGGCCATGATGGCAAACAATGTCCGGCGGTCACCGATCGGTGGGATTTGTTTGAAGAAGATGAACCCGAAGACCTGCTCGAGCCTGAAGATCTGCCATTTGTGTCCGGACCCGAGTTCCAGCCAAAGGAAAACACCATGGTCATCGTGGACAAGTCCGGAGTTCATCGCCTGGAGGTTCGATGCTGTGAATGTCCGAATGCCATGAGTCCGGACATTCAAATGTTTCGACACGGATTTTTCCCTGCATCTTTTAACAGGCCAAAGACTGTGTTCACCTTCAGAGTGCTCAATGATTTTCTACTGGACAGCCTTGAATGCGGCACCTCGGCGATGAACTATTACAGCAAGCTCCGGCGAATGACCTCCAGCATGTTTCCACACCTTGTTCCGGTAATGCCTTACCCTCATGATATACTGGACATCATATTGACAAAGCACATTGCAAGGACCGATACAGAGAGCTCATGAGGGTCGCTCGACAGTGGAGGCAGTTGAAGACAATGAAATGGCATGGCTTCGGCCATCGTTCTGATAACCCGAGCACAGGAGAACTTGCATTATTTTGCCCGGCATGTCCTCAGCCTGGGATTAATGTGCTGTTGTCAGAGGATGAATCTCTTGATGAGTGAGTCCTATTCTCAACCTATGTGGCCTCCATAATAATACTAGGGATCCAAGCTGGAAATACACCCGGTCATTTGTGATGGACGGAAATTTCAAAGCCGAACATCTGCATCCCATTAAGCCATTCGATGAAGTTTGGCTGTCCGATGGGCTTGGATTCATGGTGGGAAAGGACAGGTATAAAATGCACCTGGCAGAGGCTGCTGACACAGTGGAAAAATCAAGCTGCAACAATCACCGGGCAGTAAATCAAGCTAATGCTGCTCGGCACAAGCTGGAGTCCACCGGTATCGGGGGAGTTGCCTGTGCCAGACACGGTTGCTTTGTCCCTCACTCCATGGTGGATTTTCAGAAAGGCGAAAGGCAAGCCACATCCACCATTCCCCATTCACGAGTTAACCATGGGTCACTTGCAGACAAATGAACATGGACTACGCCCTTTGCGAGGCTTCCCGGCACAACATGGAAGGCATCACCAGGGCTGTCACCTTCTATGATATTAATTGTCAATACAACAAACACTTTCGGGTTCGGGTGGATCGAAGTCGATTTCTAGAAATGGCACCACAACTAACCATCATTCCCGGAATTGGGTTGTGGCACGTTCATGGCCATCAGGACAGCTGCTATGTCCGATATGCTTCTAACTTTATTGAAGGCATTGGTCGGATCGATGGAGAGATCATGGAGACGCTATGGGCACGGCTCAATTTGATCTCCCCTGCTGCTCGGGGAATGTCATCTCCCCACCGAAAGGAATGCCTTGATTATCAGATGAATGACTCCAATTTCTGCAAGATGATTCGCATGAAAAGGACTCTATGCCGGAAATACAAACTGGCTAGGAATGGTATCTTAGAAAGTGGAAAGGCATTCGACAGACTCGATGAAGCAGCACCCTCACATTTGAAGACAGAATGGTTAGCCAGGGAGAGGATAGCTCAGTCAAGCAGATTGAATGATCCTTCAGCCATGGATGAATATGAGATCAATATCAAAAAGGGTACGTTGAGTTCCATTGTCTCCGTCGAGGACTGAATTAATATTGCACTCAGCACCTAGCAAAAAGGAGATCGAGCTTAGATTGTTAGAGGAGGGTAACGCCCGCAATGCAGCACCCTCTCGCAGATCTGTGGCGACATGGATATCAACAGGGTTAGCAATTGAAGAGGCTCAGATTGCATTGCTCATCGAGGTCCGAAGGATCGGAAGAAGATCCACCGAGACACAGAGATTAGACATCGCCCGTCAAAGAGATCGGCTCCAAGGCCAGATAGATGGATTTGCTCGGTCTGCTCTAACACATCTCGGGGAGGGATTTGATGCAGATGATGAACCTGAAGACTTGGACGTAGACATTCTAGATGATCTCGATGATGACCCGGCGGATTTCACAGAGACATCTCACACATGGACAAACTCTCCCGAGCTAACTGTAATCCCATTGCCATCAAACCTGGGGGTTGACAGATGCAGACGATGCATGGCAGAGGATCTGATTCCCCTGGAGATGTCGCTTCGTGAAGGGCAGGCCAATGATGCCCTTCACAATCTCCGCATTTACCTTTGCAACAAGGCCATCCTGTTCCGAACAACCGTTAGGCAGGCCAATTCCCAGGCCCTGAAAACTCGAGCTTGGTCCCAGGTGACGTCGGTGCAGCAGGCAGTCTCCCTCCATGCCAGCATATATACAAAGACAAGGAAGCAAATGATGAAACTTGAGCCGGGGCAAGACCAGCTTCAGAAATACAAACCCCTGCTTCGCGAGCAACTCAAAATCAGCACTGCAGTGGGCGACCCAAATGCCCGAGGTCAACGAAATGAATCTTTGGCTTGGTTTTGGTCTGTTGAAGTCGACCTCGGGGGTCCTGATCAATCGTGGAATGAAGAATGTGAGTTCCCGCTTGCATGTCATATCCCGCGGTTACCTGACTGGACCCATGCCAAGTTTACCGAGTCCATTGGCTGAGGGCAAAGGCACTACGGGATCGATGGAGGGAAGAAATGCTATTGGTCACATTCGAGATGGATTGGACATGTAAGTTCTTTTTGTGGAAAACAACCATATGGGGCGAGCACATGCAGGAATCATTGGAGAAACGACTTCCGGGTCACGGATGCTACGCCGGAAGGCAATCCCACATGTATTCATTGCTGGCACAGGATGCGCAGGCAGCTTTTCAAGACCTACAAAACGTGTTGATAGAGGCTGGAGATGAATGAACATTGTTTTCTCATGAAGTCCCTTTTTCCACATACATAATTGACGCCCGGGAATTGTCCGGGTCAGCCCATGTCGGAGTTTGAATTTCGTATCCATCCATCAGTGATTCTTATCTTCACATCTTGACCATCTTTCACTTGTATTGCCAGCGCCATAGTCCTGTATTAGCCATGTCTGCATCTCATGCATCCACTTCTGGCACTCTGAATCCCGGAAGCCATTACCGACCTCTGAAGCTGAGCCTTGCAACTATTTCCTGCACATTGGCAATGGCTGGATCGCGCGTCCGTGCAATCATCTCTCAATATCGGACGGAAGCTGCCAACAATGGTCTATCTGCTGACCGGATCAAGTATTTTAAAGCCGGGCTGCAATGGGAGATGAATGTATGTCACCACTGCCCTGATGACTTTGTTGGTCAATGCTAAGAATTTGAGCAGACATTTGTCACACCACTCCTGCAGTACTCCGCTTCACAGAATATCGTGTCGGTTCTTCCGGTCCCTGTCGCTTATATCCTTAAGTTGTATCCCATGCTGACCTGGAACACTGTTCCGGACGACGTCTTTTCATTCCACCTCCTTTCATTTCATGATGAGCCAATTGCAGGACATCCGTCCCGGATTGTGTTCGCATATACATGTCCATGGTGGATGGGAAACACCACAATCCCTGATCAACCATGGCAGTGGGATGAAATAATGGCTTCCTGCGTCTCTCACTACCAGTATTGGGCGGTAAGATGTCAGCTGAATTACCTTGATTGATGACTTATCTGTTTCAGCTTAATGTTGAGGATGATGCTTTGGTACTTCCAGAGAAGTTGAAAAACACTTCGACTCCACCACTCATGGGACTGAGATTCATCAAAGAACGCATGGAAGCATTGCTGGAGGAGCAAGATCAGGGCATCGAAGCTAAGATGGGAGAGGTGAAGATGTACACTGACATGTTAGAGAAATTGAGGAAAGGCAAAGGAGTGTAGTCCCATTCACTCTTCATTGTATACAAGATGTAACATATTCTATGCATTCAAAAATCTCACATTCGAGTCCCGGACGCCCAGGTCCCGAGTCCCGAATTTCGGAAGTCGGGGCTCGGAGACCCGGAGCTCGGCAACTGTGTTGGGTGTCAGGGTATCCAGACCATTGGAGATAGCATGTGTCAGTATTTTGCGTTTCATAGTTTATGTTGTGTGAATATGGAATCGGGGATCAGGGACTCAGTATTCAGAACAGTGTCAAGTCCCAGGTCACGAGCTCCGAGTCCCGAGTACCGAACCCCGAGTCCCGAGTCCCGAGTCCCGAATTTTGGAAGTCGGTGTAGAAACAACAATACTACTAGGAACAAATGATGCTCCTGGCAGTATCTATAAATGTTGATAGGTCGCGCGTTGCCTAGTCTGCATTGCTTGAGGAGACAAGTGCGTTTGACCCTAAAGGGGAGGTGAGTACAGCAAAGATCTAGAGGTATGCGCGGCAACGCGAAGCGCGAGAAAGCGCAGGTGCGCGCAAGGTACGAAGGCACGGGAAAGCGCGGGAAAGCGCGCGCGCGTAAGCGGTAATAAGAGAGACTAAGCTTAAGTGATAATATGATGCAATATAAGAAAAGAGAGATGCAAAGTGTAGACAAAATGGAGTTCTACTATGTACTGCTAAGTAAATAGTGGGTGATAACTAGTAAGTTAAAGGGAAAAAAGTAAGGTAAGTAATAGTATGTACTGCTGGCGCTTATATAGCGCGCCTAAGCACGGTCAAGCGGAGCCGAAGCGCTACCGAGTAGGTATGTAAATATATATATGAGTGAGAATGCATGATAAAAATAAAGGTGGAACTATGCTAATAAAGGAAATGGAAATATACGCACTAGGGAGCTTGGTGGACAGTGGATGGATGCTTCTGGATGGCTGGCGCCATAGGGCGTGCAAGCGCGGGAACGCGCGCGCGCGTATACATCGCGAAGCACGGGAATGGTGCGCGCATGGCGCGCGTTGCGCGGGAAAGCTGCGCGTCATATAGAGATAGCTGCGGGTAGCGCACAGAGTAATGCTATGAGTTCGTGCTGTATACTCCTTGGTGAAAACTACCATATCACGCCATGAGAGGCATGATTCTCTACATCGGGGTTCGGCGACCCGGAGCTCGGCAACTGTGTTGGGTGTCAGGGTACTCGGAGCATTGGAGATAGCATTTGTCAGTATTTTAAGTTTCATGGTTTATGTTTCGTGATTATGGAATCAGGTGTCAGGGACTCGGTATTCAGAACAGTGTTGAGTCCCAGGTCATGAGCTCCGAGTCCCGAGTCCCGAAACCCACACCCAGCAGTTGCCGAGCTCCGGGTCGCCGAACCCCGACTTCCAACATTCGGGACTCGGGACTCGGGGTTCGGCACTCGGGACTCGGAGCTCGTGACCTGGGACTTGACACTGTTCTGAATACCGAGTCCCTGATCCCCAATTCCATATTCACACAACATAAACCATGAAACGCAAAATACTCACACATGCTATCTCCAATGGTCTGGATACCCTGACACCCAACACAGTTGCCGAGCTCCGGGTCTCCGAGCCCCGACCTCCAAAATTTGGGACTCGGGACCTGGGCGTCCGGAACTCGGTATTCAGAACAGTGTCGAGTCCGGAGTCCACAATGTCGGGGTTCAGGGTTTTGTTAAATGTGTATGGAAATAACAAATGTTAATTCGAGCGTATTTATACATCTTCCCCCAGTCTCAAATATCACTTGCTGAGGTCCGGGTGTCGGGACTAAGTACCCCGGCACTCCGGACTCCCATATGTCAAGTCCCGAGTTCCAATTATCGAATACCGAGGCTTGCATCCAAATTATTTAGTCCCACATATCACTTGGGAAATGCTCAAAATTGAGTATTGAGGTCTGGATCACAATTGGTACATGGTATTCATTTGTTGGAATGTATATAGGTCACAATGCTTGCTCTTTGTTTGATCTTTCACACGCTGTATGGACCATCCACACTAGCCCATCCACATGATGGAACACCAGCATAAATATGAACAGCATCCCTCATATACCATGCCCAAGCAATCCGATCCCCTTCCACATCATACACTCCATGTCTCACAATCTTTCCGGAAAACGCAATCATACAGCCGGAATTGTACTTGAACTCCAGCTGAAGGTTTGGCATTGTCATCCGAGCATTAGAATAGTCCCCCACGGTGGTGAGAATGTCGAAGCATTCAGCAATGGACATGTGGTCTCGATGATGGGGGGTTTCCCGATTGGAAATGATGGAGAGGGTGTTAAACACGGATGCCCAGTACTGCAGGGCCTCCGGCATCTGTGGCAGATCCTTGCTTACTGCTATATTTCCAAGGTTTGACAAGGTTCTCAACCCTGCCCAGTACTGCTCAGGATGCATGACTCTGAGTGCTGCGGACGCGATGGCTGCTGGCCTTGCAATGGCTTTGAGGATATTCTCGCAGGAAGGTCCCTTCAATGATGCAGATACCTCCGGATCTGACACATTCTTTGGGATTGGTAAGTATGACTGCCGGAATCACCATCTCATCAGATCCTACCTCGTGTCCCTGTTGAAACCATGCCGGAGATAGATTGATGCATCCGGGAGTTGCTCCAACATCTTCCGAGCCCCGGTTGAACAACCTTTGATTAGTTCGCCAATTGCCATCAGCCCTTACACTTTTTTCGAGGCTTGGAGAGAGCAAATAGGTGGCCTCCCTGATTTCCTTCTGTAGGTTCCATTAATATTCGATATCCATCGAGTAACAATGTATATTACACACCTGGGTGGTGTCTGTCAGGGCGTCTGGGAGATACCATGCAATGATGGCACCGGATGCATCAAGAATTATTGCAGGTTCATCGACCAACCTTTTGCCTTCATGGCCAGGAGGACACCTCTCAAGCAACCTCGCCTCTTTATGTTCATTATGCCCGGTGTCCTTCGGGGAGATCAATTTGCTATATCTTGCAATATCCATCTGCATCTGAACTGTCATGCAGGAATTTGAATGATAAAACAAATTTTCCGAATCTGCAGGAAGACCCACTGGGATTTTTAGATGCCTTTATGAGTACATCAGCCAAGCGATCGCACGCCATCACCAGATCAGTGTCTAGGTTGGGGGAAGGTATGACTGGGCCTCCTCCAGTCTTCTCTGCCTTGAATTTCTGTTCAGTATATTCTCCTGCTTCATAAGTCACAGTCAGGGCCCAAGTGCGCCAGATGTTTATGCTATCAGGAGGGGAAGGGGAAGAACCGTTCATGCTGGATGTTAATCTTGGGAAATCAGACACTGAATGCTGGATGTCCGGACTTTGGTGTTATAGGGGGTGGAGATAGAGAGGATCAGATAAGGGAGCCATGGATAATTTTGGCCGCTGTCAAAGATGTATTATTATCCATTGCTCAATGAAATACTACCTGATTGGAAGTGTGCTGGTCATCAGATATTCATTTGTCGACTCCCGAGTCCCGGTACTCGGAAGTCGGTACGGTTGACCCATATTTGAGTGGTCGGAATTTGGCGTCTCATAGGGCAACACAAGCTTCGTACTGCCATATCAGGAGATCACCTGCTGCTCCGGGAACTCGGTAACTGTGATTTATTACCTCCTCTGAGTAAGGTTGACTCGCTGGTCATCAGATATTCATTTGTCGACTCCCGGGTCCCGGAACTCGGAGGTCGGTACGGTCGACCCATATTTGGGTGGTCGGAATTTGGAGTCTCGTAGGGCAACACAAGCTTCGCACAGCCATGTCAGGAGATCACCTGCTGCTCCGGGAACTCGGTAACTTTGATTTATTACCTCCTCTGAGTACGGTTGACTCACATTTTGGCGGTCGGAACTTGGCTTCTCGTAGGGCAACACAAGCTTCGCACCGCGGATTCCATATTCTGCAAGACAACCTAAGCACCATCAGAGGCCATGTCAAGAGAGCACCTGCTGCTCTCTTCAGAAACATCTGAACTTCGGTTGGCCATTTAACATGGAAAGTATTAACTAAATTATGTGTTGAGTTCCGGGTCCCGGAACTCGGAACTCGGAACTCGGAACTCGGAACTCGGTACAGTTGACTCCAATTCTGGTGGTCGGAACTTGGCTTCTCGTAGGGCAACACAAGCTTCGCACCCCGGATTCCACATTCTGCAAGACAACCTGTGCACCATCAAAAAGTATTAACCAACTTATGTGGTGAGTTCCGGGTCCCGGAACTCGGAACTCGGTACAGTTGACTCAAATTCTGGTGGCCGGAACTTGGCGTCTCGTTGGGCAACACAAGCTTCGCACTGCCATGTCAGGAGATCACCTGATGCTCCGGGAACTTGGTAACTTTGATTTATTACCTCCTCTGATTTGGTTGATGTACAACTACCTCAGCTCCATCATGTCTACAATTATGATACACATGGGCCCACCCATCTATATTTTATACCACCCTCGGCCCACCCGTCTAATACAACATCCCATACAACACCCTCGGCCCACCGGTCTAATTAATATGTGTCTGGGCCCACCCGTATAATACAATATTTTATAATACCCTCGGCCCACCCGTCTAATTTAATATGTGTCTGGGCCCACCCGTGAATGTGATAACAAGTACCTACCCATCTATCTCATACACATCTACCTTAATACACCCATCTGCATAATATCCAGCTACCTCGGCCCACCCGTCTACCTAATATTCATTTACATTGGCCCACTCATCTACTCTATATATTCCCTGCATGGGCCCACCCGCCTCCATCGGGAATAATTTGCCTCCCGGCCCATCCGTCATAGTTGAGAATATTTTTATCATGGGCCCATGGTCCGCTGGCCCGTATCATACGGGATATTATGCACGTCCGTTCCCTCGTATTATACGGAGATATGTCACTGTAGTATGTGGGCCTCATCTCCTGCTTCCTTCGACTACATCGAGGAGCAGTTCGGTGGAGGTCGCCAATATGAACCTCCACCCATTGAGCTTACACCCTCACGGTGTAGATGAGGAATCTTGACTATACGTGAAAACACTTAAAACAAAAGGGTGCTCAACAGCAAGACCGGGATACGAGACAACGACTCGACCCAAAGGACAACCACTGAGAGAAGTTCCTCGAAATAAAAGTGGAGGGAAACTCTATGAGCTAGGCGGGCGCTAACAGGCGCGAGAAGATAACGCGCGCGTGAGCAGGAGGTTCGAGAATGCGCGCGCACGAAGCGAAGGCGCGCCTTGAGCGTTAAAGGAAAGGTCCTATTGAGGAGTGAATGCACAGATGGATGATTGACAGGAGAATAAGATCTGATAACAAGTGAGGAGGTGATCTATACACTTTCCAGTACACAAAGATAAGGGGAAAGTAAGTACCAGAACCAAAAGAAACCCTTCTGTATTTAAGAATGGAGATTACGCTAAGCGGCGCGCTTCCGAGCGCGCTCCCAAACCGAGTAACCATATCAACTCTAATTATAACTAAGTTTAAATAGACTTTCTATATGTAGCGCGGACGTCGGACCGAAGATTTCATTAGTTCAATGGACAAGATAGGAATAACGCACCAGCAAATCAGTAAGGACATGGGACGAATGGACGGACAATAGCACGAAGACCTAGGAGAAGGCGCGCGTGCGCAGGTAAGGCGCACCTAAGTGCGCGCGAGTACGGATAAGGCGCACGAGACTGGTCCTTAGGATTAGAGCTGTAGCATATAGGAATGTATGGGTAAAGGCCGGATATTCGGCATTGAGACGCGCGAGTCTCTACAATGGCTGAGGACCAAAATTAAGGCCACGGCACGCAACATTGGTGTCATGAAAGGCGCATCTGCCCAGTGCCAGGCCTATCACCAGCCTTCTGCAGAGGCCCAGGTTCCTGTATCTGCTCAGTCCAATGCTTTCAACCAGGACGGTGCTTCAACAAGCGAAACATCATCGCTTACACTCAACGTGGCTAACAGTCGGCACACCTCACCCCTTCCTCCACCACAAGTTCCTGCACCACTGCAGGATATATTTTATGACTCCATGGTCCAGCAACCTCCTTGGATGCAGCAAGATGCTCCTGATTTTGGCATGATGGGCGCTGATGTCTTCCCAGCTGGATTACTGGGAGACCCAGCTCTAAGTATGGTTGGAGTTGGCAACAAGTCCCTATGGGGTGCACCATCAGCACCTAATGCACAGGCACACCTTGCACCTCTGCCTTTGCAGACCACTTTCAATTTTCCCTGTTCATCCGGTCAGTCTATGATGTCTCACGGGTGTTCACTAGACCCTGCCGGTCAACCCTCTTCCAGTCTCACGCAGGAATGTTCCAGGCAGAGCTCAGCACCCACTCTATGTCCCGTATCGTCATTGCCACCTCAAGATCATGTACCACCCCCGCTGCCAGCCATGAACATCATTCCACCCACCCCACTCAAGGAAGATGGCGGTAATCCCAATCCCGTTCCAGGGAGTGCCACTAATGCTCCTCCTACTTCAACAAGAGAACAAAGTTCCATGTTAGACTCAGAGTACTATAATACGGCTGCAACCTCCCACAATTGATTCCCTGAAGAGAACGAACCAGTTGCCCACGAAGAGGAACATGTCATAATCGGTCGCAGGTCAGATGATATGAATGCAGAACTCGAGTCTGGGTTCGGAGATATCGAGCATTGCTTCCTCAAACTCTCAACCTCCACCACTCTCCCCAAGAACCAGCTGATCAACTTATTCCTGAAGAGTTGAGGATGCACCGTGAATGGCACAAATTATTGGAATTTGTACACCAATTATTTCAAGGACTATGTGCAGCAGGAACTCATGCGCATTAGCAAAGAGGTGCCTGAAGGTGGCAGAACACCTAGTAAGTTCATATGAGGGTACAGCATGATACTTTATATTCATATCCCTCGCAGGTGCAACTGTGCACAGGCAATGCTATGAGAAGTTCAAAATGGCCTTCCCTGACACCTATCAAGATATCCTGTCAAGGCACGAGGAAGCTTCTCTCCTGGGATCGTCTCCCCAAACTATAGCTCAGCGTGCGCAGGCATTTCAAAAACACTATTGAAGTGTTTCGAGTCTGGTACGTAATCTCAGTAGAAGTGTTGGCATGTAGCTAATGTTCATTTGCATAGCTTGAGTCCGGTTCTGCAAGATTCGGATTTGAAGTGGCCATAGTATTGTGCAGTAAAGTCGTCAATGAAGACAGATCGCTTGGACATTGTTACAATACGCCTGGCACTGCAGGAGTAAGTCGTTGCCATTCAAATTCTAGCGTGTACTTAGCGTAGTAGTTCTGGGAGACACGATGCCGTGCCAGCAATGATGCGATGATCGGCCATCTAAAGGCCCATGTATAGTAAGCCGAAGTTTCTGTTTCATAATCATCCTACATAATGCTTATGTCGTCCCAACTAGTAATGGTACATCCCTATCCATGGTCAACGAAGCATTTCCGGACATCGACGATAGCCGTGACAATCCAACATCAAACCTCAACAACAACGTAGAGCAGTTTTCTGATGTTGTGGAGGGGCGACGAGATGACAGCTTGAAATGGCTTAAGAATGAAATCAACCGGCAAATTGGTATGTTCATTATTGTCGCTCTGATACCGCTTCATCCCAACTAACATGTCTCTTTTCGTACTAGTCAACCTTGGCGGCAAAAAATCTTCCCTTGGAAGCTGATGCCGGCTATGCTCATAGAAGCCAACCTTTGTATTAAAGGTTATCCTGCGCATAAATGTCTCTTACCTGGTGAGGCTCACAGCAAACCTGGGGTGAACAAAGGAATCAGAGCACTAACGCAGAAGGAAGTCGGTGCACTTGCTGAATCTCTGAAGGCAGGTACTATGCGGATCGTTCAATTTCCCAGCAAGGATCGAGGTATGTATAAACTAGATTACAGTGAAAATGACATACTTACATTATTTACAGTGGCCATTATTGCTTCTCAGAAACCTGTCATCGAAGGCGAAGCACCTCCCCCCAACTGGCCACATCCTGGTGCCCAACGAATGTTTATTAACGGTAACACCGATCATTTTGGTCTTTCTCCCATCAAGTTCAGCGCTGCAACCACGAAAGTCAAGAGGGGCCCCATCAAAGCTCCTAAGGCTCCATCACCACTCACCGAGTCTGACTCGGATGATGACGAGGCAGCTGAAACTTCAGTCCTTAAGCCCCTACCTCAAGTGATGGCCCAAAAACTCAACTCCAACACGCATCATGAAGTTGTTTCTCCACCAGCATGCACTTCCAGGGTCGTTGCCAGGCCAGTTGCAACTCTGAGCGACGTGATTGAACTCACATCCACCGAAGAGAACCTCCTGGAAGAGCATAGCACAGAGTATGAAGAAGCTGGACGTGGAAAGAAGAGGAAGATTAAGTCTGCCAACACATCACATGTGTCAAAGAAGACTGCTGCGCCCACAGAGAAGACTAACACTTCAAAAGCAGGGAAGAAAGGGCTACAGGGTAAGAACGTAGAATCCAAGCCCAAGGTGCCGTCTATGACCCCACCCACGAAGGGTGGACCACTGTCCCCATTGATGGTGGAATCATCTAGTGACGGTCTCCCATCACCAGAACATGGTAAGTATCAGTCACCTCCAGGCTAATATTTGTTTCATGCCATTTGATAGGTCAAGTAATGTGCCTTTGAGATGGGCCTTCTGAGGAACCCAGGAAGGGTGAGTTTTTTTGACCTATTTTATTCATTGCATAGATTTACTTTAAATACTTTAGAACATGTTAAACCACGTCTGGTCACCAAGGGTTTTTGGGTTGCGATGAATCGCAGCCTTTGCACAGTGTATGGGAACTTGGACTCTGAATCTGAGGTCGACAACAGCAAGAAGACAGACCCTACTACTAGAACAGGTACCATCGCTGAGGGTTCTGGTACTATTGCCAACGTCCAGCCCAATACCTCAAAGGAAAACTCTACCCAGATGTCAGAGTGGGAAGCATTACCCCAAACCACCCCGTTGGATGCAGTGGCCCCTACTATTCCCCACCAGCAGCCTGTTAGCGATGTCCCTCGTACCCACCAAACCTCTCATGGCAACGATATCCCTCATGACGACCCTCTGCACCCTCACGAGCCTCTTCATGATGACAACACTCGTGACACCATTGGCAATGACCCTCCAAACCACCCTCTTCATGACTCTCAAGGTGGTCGCGAGCCTCTGGTTCATGACCACCCTCCGAACCACTCTCTCCGTGACCCTCGAGGTGGTCATGAGCCTCCACACGAGCCTCTTGACCGCCCTCCAAGCCATCCTTACCGTGACCCTCGAGGTGGTCATGAGCTTCCACACGACCCTCTCCATTATGATAACACTCGAGGCATGGCTCGCAATCATCGTGACACTGCCCACCATGACCCTCGTGATCATAGGGATCCTGCTCAGCATGACCCTCGTTATCATGGCAATCCTCGTGAAGCTCTACGCCCGCATGACCCTCATTACACTCATGGCTACTCTCATGAAGCTGCGCGTATCATCGACCGTGACACTCTTCACCCCCACAATGCATTCTACCCCCGTGATTTTCGTCCCCGCTATGGTCCTCAAGTTCATCATGGAACTGCTGGCACTCGTACAGAAAGTGAGATGAGTGCTCATCGTGACAGCTCACCTGTACCGGAGTTTCATGGCTATGGTCCAGGTGAGCGTGAACACACCTATGCAAGCCGATACAGTCCTGTTGAAGGAGGATACCCTCGACGAGATGACCTTGAAGAGCGTGAGGATTCACTATCCCCCTATCATAGTCATCCAGTTGGTGGGGGCAATTATCGTGAGGGTCCTAACAGGATGTTCCCATGGGTGGACAATGATCCTCACTTTGACTATGACCGTGATGCTGTTGCACGAGCATATAATCATGATTTCACTAACCCCCCGAGGCCTCCTGCAAGTTAGTTCCAACACATCCTCTCAAGCCAATAACCATGTCTTTGTGCTGTAAATTTTTGCCAATCTACTCTTTTGTTATTGTGTTTTACCCATGCCTACCTCATTTATTCATCTTGTGGTTGTCTCCTCGTTGTGTCGCACCTGCGTGTTATACACTACCTATGTTGATGTTTACTACACCTTGTAACTTGCTTTGGTCAATATCAGTATAGCAGCTCCTCCGTAGCTTGCTGTTGTCTCATTCAGATTATCCTCGAGACCACTAAGATGCTTACTCAAATTTGATATGTTTTCACAAAACAGAATGAATATCATTTAGAAAGGTACAGTCTTACTAGGTATGCAGGCACAAAAAACAAGAAGTCTGATGGGAAGTCATGACATACAGTGGCTCAAAAAAGTGTCCCAATGTTTGTAGGTTTTCATGTAATTGTGTTATTGCGAGCCAGGGTGTGAGAATCTGACTAAGTCAAAGGGAGGTCCCAAAAAGCTCCGCTTCTCGGCTACAATTATGTCCCCTATAGCGTGAGAATCCATTGACGCCGTGCGAAGATATGGCTATTTTAATTAGGTGACTCATTGGGACACTTTTTTGAGTTTCTATTAAAATATGAAAATCAGATCATTTAGACATGACACTATTTACAAATATATATATAAATGGTCCCATATTGACAATATGGTCTCATTTTAATATCCTGTACATATATAAACCCTTCCAATAACATCATGTCCCTCATAATCAGCATGAAGTGAAAACCTACAAACATTGGGACACTTTTTTGAGCCACTGTAAGTGCGAGAGGACAACATACGAGGGGAGAACACACCATAAAACATAACGCCGGAGGATCCTCAAAAATGACAACAGTGTGAAAGATGCTCAATGATGGCAGGGGCTCTCAAGGAGGTTACTAAGGCTGGTGAGGGCTATCCTCCCAATGATAATGGTGGAGTCCATAGGGTGACTCGCGAGGGTGCTTGTGATACCTCTCGAGGTGTTGAGGGAGGAGGCCCTGAGAGAGGCAGGTCTCAGAGATGGGTTTCGTCCTACATTAAAACTGGGTCTAACAGACCGTGAGAACAGGGCAAAAGTGCTGCCAAGGGTGTGCGACTCATACCTCAGCAGTTCTATTATCACGATGAAGGTACAACAATTCAGATGGTGAGTCTGAACAATGTGTTGGGTCTTGCAGAACCTAGCTGCTATTCGACCCTAAAGGGTTTCTGGATCAGGCTCAAGGCTCAGAATAGAGGAAATATCATAAAAACTTCTGAGCACTCAGACTCATACTGGTAACTGGTGAAAAGATTGCTTGCTTATGTAAGCTACAAAAGTGCCAACATAAGGTAAGGTAAAAACAGTCTCTACAAGCCCAGCCAGAAATGAATCCCTACAACGACGCTGAGGTATGTATCACGTTCCACTTGCACACCGTCTATCTCTTACTTTGTTCTTCATATAGACTTGTTCTAGGTACTGTTAAATATTAGTGATTCTATTATCACGATGCTGAGACTTGTTCTAGTCTCATCCTTCTAACAGGTTATGAGCCCTAGTTCCTATTGAACCATCAAACGAGACTACATAGCAAGAACTCTGCTCGTGACTACTCGCTGCTCACACCTTCATCTCATCTTCATTCATTCTCACGGCGGTATCATCATGGGCAAATTTGATCACATTCCCGAGTTACTGGGCACAGAAAACTACGTTGGTTGGTCCACAAAGATACAATATGCTCTCGCATGTGAAGATCTATGGTGCCATATCAACACAAATCCTGACCCAACAGATCTGCTCGGAGCACCATCTTTCATACCTGATCCCGCCGATCCTGACAACATCACTCCTGCCGAAAGGACGGCGATGTGAGAATGGTTATTAAATGACATCAAGGCTAATGATCTTGTCACTCGTCATCTTAGTGCGTCTGTCGGAGTGTTGGTATCACACTTGCACACCGTTTCAGCCCGCGATGCATGGAGAACTCTCGCTGAACACTTCAATCGGACTGACACCAGCGCTCAATATCAGCTATGCCAACATTTAGATGCCTTACAGATGAAAGACTCTGCTGACGCCACTAACTATGTTGGTCAACACGCAGTACTCCGAGAACGTCTCTGTGATTCGGGCACTGCCATGCGTGATGGTGACGCCATTTATAGTTTGCTCATAGGTCTCCCTCACACACCTGTCTGGCAACAATTCCAGTCCATGTTAGAACAACGCATGCACGACGAGGTAATGACAGCACTACCAGGCACTGTCTCAGCCTTCACCGTGGAGAGTTGTGTGTCCCACATCACTGCCGAAGCGGCACATCATGTACACTCACACATCATCACCAATGCTCATCCCAGCTCTGAATATGCTAATGCAACCTCCTCTTCTGCTGCGCCATCGCACATCAACCCTATCACCGGACTTTGCAAACACAGGCATAACCCAGACGGGATCTTTTGCACCACGCATGGCTGCAATAAAGGCGATCACAACCACGCCCACTGTTATGGGAAAAGTGGTGGAATGGAAGGCCAGGCACCCTGTATGCGTAACCGGAGGAAGGAAGACGGCAAGGATAAGGCAGCAGTTGCTGCAGCTGCCATGGTGGCCACACCTTCCTCATCCACCTCCACGCCGGCACCCATCATAGCCACGGCTGCCGCTGACATCACCAGCCTCATGCACGACTTATCCTTTGCATCTATCGCAGAGATACCATACAAGATTGCCTGCATCACGAACCTCCCTTTCACTACCATACTGGACTCAGGCACAATGGTCACGCTCGTGAAGGACCGCAGGTTCTTTCATACCTACTCCACCGAGGAACCTGTCAGTGTGCTCACCGTGAATCACGGGGTCCTTTAAACCACCGGGCGGGGCACATGTGTAGCCTGGTTCACCATTGGTCAGCGTCAACTTCGCGTTCGTCTCTCCAACTGCCTTCATGTGCCCGGTGCACTGTTGAACCTGCTATCTGTGAGTTGCATGAACGCTAAAGGTTGGGACGTCAATTTCCATGCAAGCATGATCTGTGAGCTAGTCTACAAGGGTACACTACTCGGTGCCATCCCAGCTACTGGCAAACTCTACGTGCCAAATGTCGAGTTCATCCCTTTCACGGACTCACATCCAGCTCTTCCACATATTCCTGAGGTAGCCACCTTCGCCGATGTTCCCTTATCCCTGGATCTGTGGCACGCTCGCATTGGTCATATCAGCAGAGATGCTGTTATGCATTGTAGAGACTCATGCCTCTCATGGTGTGATATGGCACTTTACACTAGGAGTACATAGCACAAACTTGCAGCATCACTCTGTGTGCTATCCGCAGGTATTCCACTATGAGGCGCAGCTTTCCCGTGCAACGTGCACCATTCCCGTGCTTCACAATGTATATGTGCGCGCGCGTTCCCGCGCTTAAGTGCCCTATAGCACCAGCCATCCAGAAGCACCCATCCACTGTCCACCAAGCCCTCTAGTGCGTATATTTCTATTTCTCTCATTTGCATATTGTTCCATCTTTATTTTTATCATGGATTCTCACTCATATATATCTTTACATACCTACTCGGTAGCACTTCGGCTCCGCATGACCGCGCTTAGGTGCGCTATATAAGCACCAGCAGTACATAATACTAGTCACTTTCCATTTTTACAACTGACTTTTCCTACCTTTCACTTTACTTGACTTTTACTTTCACCTCTCACTTTACCTAGTACTTACTACCTAGAAAGTCGCAATAGAACTCTATTCCTTTACATCTTGCACTCTCACATCTCTTGCATCATATTATCACTTAAGTCTAGTCTATCATCATTTCCGCGTATGCGCGCGCTTTCCCGCGCTTTGCGCTAATACACGCGCATGTTCCCGCGCCTTGCGCGCACCTGCGCTTTCTCGCGCTTCGCTTCAGCGCGTACCTCTAGATCTTCGCTGTACTCGCTTCCCCTTTAGGGTCAAACGCGCTTGTCATCTCAAGCATAGCAGACTAGGCAACACACGACCTTCAACATTTTTAGATACAGTTAGGAGCCTCATTTGTTCCTCTCAGTATCGTTGTTTCTACAGCATCTCAATTGTGTCGCAAATGGCGTTACAATCCAGTCCACCACATATTACAGTGACCTATCTCCGTATAATATGAGGGAACAGACGTGCATAATATCCCGTATGATACGGGCCAGCGGACCATGGGCCCATGATAAAAATATCCTCGACTATGACAGATGGGCCGGGAGGCAAATTATTCCCAATGGAGGCGGGTGGGCCCATGCAGGGAATATATAGAGTAGATGAGTGGGCCGATGTACATGAATATTAGGTAGACGGGTGGGCCGAGGTAGTTGGATATTATGCAGATGGGTGTATTAAGGTAGATGTGTATGAGAGAGATGGGTAGGTACTTGTTATCACATTCACGGGTGGGCCCAGACACATATTAAATTAGACGGGTGGGCTGAGGGTGTTATAAAATATTGTATTATACGGGTGGGCCCAGACGCATATTAATTAGACCGGTGGGCCGAGGGTGTTGTATGGGATGTTGTATTAGACCGGTGGGCTGAGGGTGGTATAAAATATAGATGGGTGGGCCCATGTGTATCATAATTGTAGACATGATGGAGCTGAGGTAGTTGTACATCAACCAAATCAGAGGAGGTAATAAATCAAAGTTACCAAGTTCCCAGAGCATCAGGTGATCTCCTGACATGGCAGTGCGAAGCTTGTGTTGCCCTATGAGACGCCAAGTTCCAACCACCAGAATTTGAGTCAACTGTACCGAGTTCCGAGTTCCAGGACCCAGAACTCAACACATAATTTAGTTAATACTTTTTGATGGTGCACAGGTTGTCTTGCAGAATGTGGAATCCGGGGTGCAAAGCTTGTGTTGCCCTACAAGAAGCCAAGTTCCGACCACCAGAATTGGAGTCAACTGTACCGAGTTCTGAGTTCCAAGTTCCAGGACCTGGAACTCAACACATAATTTAGTTA